AGAGACTCAAGTTTAATCCCTTACCCAGGAAGATCCCACATGCCAGAGAAACTTAGCTGGATTTTTCCACAGCTAAACAAGGCTCACCTGTGACCTGAACACTACACATCTAGTACTTGGTAAACAGCTTTGAAAAAGTGTCCAGACAAAAACTATCACACAATTATACACAACAGCTCTACTTGTAATAGCTAAAAACTTTCAAATATCAGGATGTCTTTGGTAGATGACTGTGTAAACAAATTGGGATACATCCAAAGTGAAGGGGAGCAAATGCTACCCCAAACATACTGCTTCAGCATGAGAATTAGTTGGACCTAATTAACTTTTTTTTTTAAGAGGACACATGATCATCTCTGAAACCCAAGTTCAAGATGGCTCTTCTGTGAGTCACATTTACCAGAGAAATCTCATTTCAAAGGAATCCTCGGTATATACCAGACAGAAGGATGACAGTCTTGTGAAACTTTTTTTTTTATCAATAGGGAAAGCTAAGACGTAAATCTGTACAACAACCATACCCTTCCTTTCCTTTGGTTTTACTTTTTTTTAATATTTGTTTTTTTATTTGGCTGCGCCAGGTCGACCTTCGTTGAGGCAAGCCAGATATTTAGCTACAGCATGCAAACTCTTCGTTGTGGCATGGGAGATCTAGTTCTCTGATCAGGGATTGAACCTGGGCCTCCTTCTTTGGGAGTGTCCAGTCTTAGCCACTGGACCACCAGGAAGCCCCTGTTTTGTTTTTAGATGAAGATGGTATCTAAGGTGATATCTTGGGCCATTTCAGTCACTGACTCAGTTTCCTGAGTTTCTCCAAGGCACGCACGAGGTACACATTATTAAACTGGTTTGCAAAACAAGTAAAGGTTGTTTGCGACAACATTGTATGCTTACAAATATCTAAATGGCAAATGGCATGTTATTTATTTTTAATTACTATGAGGGAAAAAAGAATGCAGTATTCATACATGTTACAACATGAATAAACATTAAAACCATCTTCAGTGAAAAAAAATACATATAGAAAAGGCCACCCAGATCCCATATTCACCATGTCTGCTTTAAATCCATCAAGTGTGTCCAAATAACTGAAAATCTCAGTAACACTCTAAAAAAGAAAAAAGGATGAAGATGGGAAAAAAAGATATATTCATACAATTGAACAACTGCTGAAAGTGGAAGTCGGGCTGTGGATTACATTATAATGCAGAAACTCATATGATTTCCTGATTTTGGAGGTTATGTGCTGGTTCTGCAGGAGAATGCACCCATTTTGGATAAAACACATAGAGTATTTTAGATGATGTGGCAAATGTGAGTACTTTTCCCCATTGCTAGGAGTTTTCTGTACATTTTAAATTACTGGAAAGTAAATTATGTTTCAAAACAACCATGTCAACACCACAAAAGAAAATCAGATTAGACAGGCATGAAACTTTCTTATACAGGCCAAGACTTACCCAGAAAAAGTTCAAGGGAAGCTGTGATGCTCACCGCCCTTGAAGGAGTCCACATGGAATGAAGAAGGACTGTGGGAAGTCTATTAGTAACCACCATGTCTTGAGTCCTCTGGATGACCTATTGCAGGAGAAACAGATTTTACAAATAAAATTTTCCACATGACTTCACAAAAAGTTGTTCAACTACATTCAGTAAAACTGAATCATTTCAGATCAATTTACAATCATATAAAATACTACAATTTACAATCCCAATCAATATACAAAAACCAGTTGCGTTTCTATACACTAATAACAATCAGAAACAAAAATTAAGAAAATCCCACTTATAACTGCATCAAAAAGAATAAAACATCTAGCAACAAACTCAGTCAAGGACATAAAAGACCAGTAGTCAGAAAACTAGAAAGCAGTGATAAAGAAACCAAAGGAAGCACAAATAAACAGAAAACTATTCCATGCTCATGCACTAGAACAATGAGGAAGTAAAATGTCCATTCCAACCAAAGCCATCAACAAATACACTGACTGCAATCACAGAATAATATTCAATGGCATTTTTCACAGAAATAGAAATATTCCTAATATTAGGCTGCTAGTATTGAACAGGACCTTAAACAGCCAAAAAGACTCTGAGAAAGAAGAACACAGCTGGATGCATCTTCCTCTCCGACTTCAAACTACATCACAGAGTGGTAGGAAGCACCACAGTGAGGAACTGGCACGAGCACAGACGCGTGGACTCGAGGAAGGCATAGAGAGCCCAGGAGTGAAGCCACATGTACGCGGTCAGTTCATGAACATCAAACTGGGAACGAGCGAAGAGGAAAGGACAGTCTTCTCAAGAAACAGTAACAGGAAAACTGGCCACCTGCACTGAAGAACATCACTGGTCATCCTCTAGATCACCTAACAGAAATCTAACTGAAAACCCGCCGTTTTGCACATGGAGCTCTCCCCCCCCCCTCCCCCACCACCCCCGCCCCGAGTCCTCTGAGATGCACCTCCGGTCAGAGCTCACCTGGACACAGGAAACGTCTACTTCGTCCTCATTTTTCCCTCCTGCAGCGCCTCCCTGCTGGGGCGCTGAGGCAAGCCCGCTCCTCTCAGCCTGGACGCAGCCCTGTTATCCAGAAGCCCGAGCCCTGATGGCCCTGAGCCAGCTGGTCACCCAGCCCAGTCTGAAGGCAGAGCGTCCTGCGCCCGCGGGTCAGAGGGGGCTTTGGCGCCCCCTGCGGGCCGCCGGAGAAGAGCGGGCAGCCCCGCGCTCACACAGCCCAGAGGGCTCCCCCAGAAGCAGCTCTGCGGCGAGCGCTCAGACTGGAAGCCCAAACCCAAATGGAGCCGAATAGCTCCACGACCCTCCTCAAAACATGGTAAGGAACAGTCAGAGCCTGCATGGAATGCGGCCACAAAAAGGATCACATTGGAGGCACTTCTAATGAAGTGGATGAACCTAGAGCATATGAAACAGGGAAGTCAGTCAGAAAGAGAAAAACCTGGACTCTAGAAGGATGGTCCTGACGAATCTGTTCACGGAGCAGCAGTGGAGATGCAGACATAGAGAACAGACTTACCGACAAGGGTGGGGAACGAGAGGGAGAGGGTGAGATGAACAGGGAGAGCAGCACGGATGCATGCACACCAACCTAAGCTGGGAATTTGCTGTCTGACTCAGGGAACTCAAACTGGGGCTCTCTGATAGCCTGGAGAGGCGGGAATGGGCGGGACGTGGAGGGGGAGATTCAAGAGCGAGGTGGCACACATACACCTATGGTTAATTCATGTCGATGTATGACCAATCAAACCAATATTGTAAAGCAATGATCAACCAACTAAAAATAAATACTGTAAAAAAAACATACGGAATGAAATGAACGTAAACACAAATAACTCACCACCAACAGTTATGCAACACCATAACTCAATTTAAAAAACTATAAAAATTTTAGAAGACAACAAACATGACCTTTGGTCTGGTAATTAGTTCTGCTGCTGCTGCTGCTGAGTCACTTCAGTGGTGTCCGACTATGTGCGACCCCATAGATGGCAGCCCACCAGGTTCTGCTGCC